CCAACCCACCCGCAGGCGATGCCGGCGCGCAGCCGCCGTCGCAGCCGCCGTCGCAGCCGGGCAGCGCTGCTCCCGAAAGCCCGGCGGCGCCCAGCGAAGATGCCGCTGGCAGCGAAGCACCCAATGCGGACAGCGACCGCGATGAGCAGCCCAAGCGGGAAGCATCAGCTGCGCCGTCGCCACTGGCCCTGCCGCCAATGCCGTCCAGCATAAACAGCGGCAGCAACAACGCGTAAATAAAAAAAACCTATCCATCCTTTATTTTACTTCATCCTTTTTACTTTTTTGCGCATAGTTTTCCTTTTTATTCTTCTTGGCTTTTCTTTTTCATTAATAGGCTTATTCACTAATAGGCTTAAAGGGGGGGATCTTTTGCTTGAATCATGTGTCTAAAAGACCAGACGCTTTTTTGTCTTTTTAGCGGTTCTTTAAGTCTTTTTTAAATAATAAATCTTTTATAGCATGGGCCCTTTTGCCAATTTCCCCTCCCTTTCTCTCTCCCTCTCTCTCTCTCTCTCTCTCGCATTTTCTGTAGTATAGATGGATAAATTCTACAAGCAATTTTTCGGCAAGGACGAGTATCCGCCAGACAAGAAAGAGGAGAGATTTCTTGATGACGAAAGCGATGACGAGCTGGACAGCACCATAGATGACCGGTCCAGCCATGTAAATGAGAAATACCACGACCTGCATAGTTTAAACCTCGGACCACCCCCAAATGACAAGAAGCCGCTGGACGGTAATGATATATCTCCAAAGAAGCCGCGGGAAACGTATTTGCGCGCTGATAATGAAGACGAAATGATAATGCCCAAGAAGGCGGTTCCGCTGGGAGAGGCCGAGTGGCCGCCCAAAATGGACGACACGATGATTCCGGATCTGAGCAAGCCGCCCAGGCCGCCCTCGCCAAAGGAAAAGTACCCGAGGCTCACGTTTTACGGCAAGGAGGATGAGAAGCCTCGCGAAGAGCGGCCCATGCCGCCGCCTGGTGTGCAGAGGAGACCGCCTCCTCACGAAATGAACAGGAGGCCGCCGCCAGACATGCAGAGGAGGCCGCCGCCCCACGACATGAGGAGACCGCCGCCAGACATGCAGCGGAGGCCTCCACCACACGACACGAGGAGACCGCCGCCCCACGACATGAGGAGACCGCCGCCAGATATGCAAAGGAGGCCGCCGCATGACATGAGGAGACCGCCGGGCCAAATGTCGGAAAAGATGCCGCCGCCAGGCTACCCGGGCGGCCGGCGGCGCCGAATGCAGCAGATGATCATGCCGTATGTGGGCAAATGGGGCAAGATATCGCGGTCCTGGGCGAGCCAGACGGTGATACTGATCGTGTTCATGGGCGTCGGCTACATAATGATGTCGGCGGGCATCCAGCACATGGCCGACGACTCGGTAGCATACCTGAATGCCGGCTGCGCAGCCGTCGATACAGCCGCCGACGCCGTGGTCAATGCCCCCAGCACCGCGGCGCTGGCCACGCTGAGCATGATTGACTCGGCAGCCCGCAACGCCGTCAACGCGCTAGGGAACTCGATCAACAAGGTCATCACGATTCTGCGCGACCTGATCGTGTTTGTGCTGAAGATGTTTGTGGGGACGTTTATCTGCTTCGCCACCCTCATCGTGAAGACGGCGCTGACGATGATCAGCGAGGCGGGCCGCATTCTGACAGAGCAGCTGGAGAAGGCCGTCAACGAGGTTGTGGGCGATCTGCAGAACGTCGCGGCAACCATAAGCAGCGGCATCGAGGATGCGGCCAACAACATTGCCAACTTCTTCACGGGCAACAAGGGCGGCGACAAGAAGGTGGACTTCAACACGGACAGCATCAAGCAGAAGCTGACGATCTCGATCCCCACGGACTGGACCGACAGCATCAGCAACATTGCCAACAAGATCCCTTCCGAGGACCAGATCTTCGGCAACATCACGCAGCTCATCGACGTGCCCTTCGGGATGCTGCGCAGCCTGGTCGTCACCTCGTTCTCCAGCGTCAACATCAGCATCGCTGACGACGTCGACATTGCCACCGGCAAGAAGGCCAACGTGTGTGTGCACCCCATGGGCCAGGAGACCGTCAGCGAGTTTGGCGCGCAGGCGGCACGCATCATCTGGATTGCCGGCCTGGTGCTTGTTGCCGTGGCGCTGCTGATGGTCCTGTTCAACGCCCTGTGGACCATGCGCGAGGAGTCGCGGTTCCAGCGCCGCCTGGTGGACTTCCGCAGCGAGCTGGTCGACTACCGGGCGCCCGTCAGCAAGCGCGAGCTGCACGAGAAGCCCGCGACCCGCAAGGAGATGGACCTGTTTGTGCTGCCGGGCGAGCCGATGCTGCAGCGGATGACCGACTACATCGTGCGCAAGAAGGGCGACACCGAGCGCACGGCCGCCTGGCGCTGGTGGCTCAACTACGTGTGGCACCCGCCGGCCATCGCGTGCTTTGTTGCCGGCGCGCTGGGCCTGGCCACGATCATCGTGCAGATCAAGGCCATCGAGGCCCTGCGGCTCGAGTTTATCCCGCTGCTGGCCCACGAGATCCGCGCCTTTGAGCAGAACGCGCTGAGCGACGATATTCTGGGCGGCGCGCGCCAGGAGTCCATTGACGTTGCGTCCTCCATCAACGCCCACATCAACAGCACCCAGCAGGACCTCACCGACGCCCTGTTTGGCCCGCTCAGCCAGGGCACCGGCAACATCAACGACACGCTCAACGACTTTGTAAGCACCTACATCAGCGGCATCCGCGACGTGTTTGGCGGCACGCCCCTGCAAGACCCCATCGAGGGCCTGATGAACTGCACCATCACCAAGCACATCCAGTCCATCCAGAAGCTGCTTACGTTTGTCAACGACTTTGCCCAGGACATTGAGCTGCCCCGAGTCAGCGCCAACGTCCTGTACGCCCCCGTCGCCGCGCTTGCCAAGCCGCTGAACCTCACCGCCAAGCAGCTGCGCGTGCTGGCCGTTGGCTACTATATCCCCGATGCCGATGAGCTGGATCCCCAGAGCTTCTCTACCGGAGACAGGATGCAGGCTCTGCTCGACCAGTACAGGAGCGAGAACCTGGAAAAGATCAGCAGCTACGGCGAAGAGGCGTTCGACACCATGAGCAGCAGCGACCTGGCGGACTCTGCCGAAAGCGAGTCTTTTGAATCTGTCGCGGATGATCTGGATTCCGGAGAGACCGCCGGACCCGTGGCTGATGGCGGCACCGGCCAGCTACGCAAGCGGCAGGAGCCGGTGGACGCCACGCCCGCGCCTCCCGCCGACTTCCAAGTAACCGACCTGCTGCCAGACCTGCCTGTCGGCTATGTGCCCGACACATATGAGCTGGGCAACATGGACGACGACGAGTCTGACTTGTACAGCTTGAGCGACATAGACTGGAGCTCCGACAGCGACAGCGTGGAAATTCCCACCTCGGAGCTGTACCGCGATGAGGTCGAGAATGCCCAGGAGTTCCAGGGCTACACTGGTGGCCTCATTGATAAGCTGTGCGACAGCTATATCAACAACCTGAAGGGCGATATCCCGACCATGATTGCCTTGATGCTGGTCTGGATCATTATTGCCATCATTGGTGCTGTCAAGGTCGCCAGGGACTATTCGACCATTCGCAAGTTCAATTTGCGTTAAATATCTGTTTCTATATAAATTAATAATGAAAAGCAAAGTGTGCTTTTGTATATGCACTATTTTGTACCCTCACAAATTGTAATTATGGCCCCCCCCACTTCTGTGCACTTGGACAAGAAGGACACTGCCAGTCCGGACGCAGAGCCAAACGCGTCAGTGTCCCGGCCCGCACGTCGCCGCAGAAGACGTTGCAAGGCAGCAAACGGAACAGGCAGTAATGACGCCGCTAAGCCTGTGGCTGCTGTGACGCTCCGCTTCAAGCGCTTCAATCTGCTGTGGATTGGTGAGCTGTTCCAGGAGCTGGTGAAGCTTTTGGCACAGCCGCCCGGCCTGAAATCCGCCGATCCGCCATGTCCAATTGAGGGCTTCCCATGTGATGAGAATGGTCGTGACATCTTTTTAGCTTTGAAAGACGGAAGGACATTGGCCTTGCTTTTGACCAAAACGCTTATGTTTAGAGGCGAAGAAATAAGATGGCCCTCCGATAAAGGCACTGTTCATCCGGCATGCGTGGTTGCTCCGCCTACTACTGCCAAACCTCCTCATATGTGTGCTGCTGTTCGCTTGTTTGGCACCTTGAACTGTTTACTAAAGCCAAACGATAGCGGCCGTCATGCTGCTGATTGGCTAGGGCTTTTGCATGCCCCGGAAGCCAAAGTCATCACAACTGAGTTTCGGCTACCTAGTGCTCCTGAGCCAACTTGCATCGCTCTCTTGTCGCAAATGAGCTGCTGCTCGGCATCAGAGTTTTGCAGGATTTCTAAAAAAAAAAAAAAAAGCGCTGTACCAGTCCAGCGGTTTATAGCCAGATTATCTGACCATTTCAGTTTCTCTAGCTACATTTGCGTAGCTCAGGGGGGAGAGGAATAAACTTCATCAATATTCGTGATCAATTTTGTTTTCGAATGTTTGGAACTTTTGGCTACCAATGGATATTACCGCCATAAACCTGTTTTTGCCCGATCATGGAAACCTCTTCTGGAAATGTTTTTGTTGTCCGGGATTGACAGATAAAGTTGCATGCTGCATATGTCGCGATCAATTTTGTTCTGATATCAAACTTTTCTGGCTCTCTTTTTAAAAAGGCAGTTTGCCTGGGGCATGTTTCCCCCCCCCCATCCGCATTCGTTTTCTTTTGCTTTAATTGTTGCTCGGTGGTTTACTGGCCGTGTCGATTCTAATGGAGGTAAAAAATATAACTTTGTTTGACTTGCTTATTTACCACAAGCACGTTTGTTTTGGAAACGCCAATTACTGCTTACGTAGTAGCTGTCAACTTTTTTATTCTATAAGATTAAAACAATCCGCTCAATATCACAGATAACAAAAGAACCTTGAATTAGGCTGGAAATTCACGTGTCAGTTTGGCCGAGCGGTTAAGGCGATAGACTTGAAATCTATTGGGATTATCCCGCGCAGGTTCAAATCCTGCAGCTGACGAATATTTTGCCTTTTTTTCAAAAATGAATAAATGAAGGCTGTTACCTGCAGAAAAATGACCGGTTAGAAACTGGTAAGCACCAGGAAAGGAATATTAATCAAAGCTAGGAGATCTGCGGGCTGCATAACCAGGAGAAATAGACCACAAAAAGAATTCCATTCTTTGAAGTAAAGAAAGGTCGCGAAAACGACCCTTTACCCCTTTTTCTTTCCTATTTTTGCTTTACACCACAAATAATAATGTGCGCAGACAACTTGCCCGAGCTTGTTATCAGGCTCATATTCAAGCGTGCAATCGGCAATTTTATATATATGCTAGGAAGGTGGAAGAGCTTGCTGAATATGCTGGCTATCTGCAGCCGCTGGAGAAGAGTTGGAACTCCACTGCTCTACTCCAACCTGCATATTGTATGTGCTAGCGACTTGGTGCCAGTGTTTCAATGTGTAGCAAATGACGAAGAGCAAGAACTCGAAACCACGCTGTCACATAACCTGGATTTGTCTATACAAAACCAGCTATTTTCATGTGCACAACAGCTGAATTTGAGCCTAGAAAATGATGCTGGCATTGTCTATTTTGCAGCTGAGGTATTAGAGATCCTGTGCAGCAGGCTTGTTATATGGAGCAACATAACCTCGCTGCGCATATGTCTATCTGATGATATGGGTGAAATTGAAGACCATGAGCAGCTGTTTTTGGAAGGGCTTGCGCAAGAGCTTTGGAGGCTGCTGCCAAATGTGCAGTCGTTGGACATATACTCAACCTCTGGAGATGAAGTGCACCAGATATTTACTAAACGGATTTACACCATGTATTCACGCTGTTTAAAATCCCTACATACTCAGCCATTATCTCTAATCCAGGGCCCAATTATGCCGTTTCAGCTGTCCAAGTTGGATATTGATTTTGACTTGAACAACGAAGACCAGGGTTACTTTTGCATTTACAACCCGCCTTGTTTAACATGGCTAGCGCTCAAAGGCATTCCGCCAACCTTCAAACTATATTCTATGGATGGCAACCAATTGACCAGTAAAATAAAGCTGGACAATTTAAAGCACCTCTATTTATTTTTTAAAGTTAGCGAGAAAATGAGCGAGCACAATTTTAAAATTCAGTGCCCAAACATTGCTTCCATGAGGCTCTGTTCTCATGCTTATTTTCCACTGAAGCCATCTCAGACGCTCCTCAAACTGAAGGATTGCAGAATAATTTGCTCAAAACTAAATATTGGCCAAGTTTGCGATCTTAAAGCAAACGAGCTGAATTGGCTGGAATTTACCTTAATTCCAGAAACCAATGAGAATTTTGATTGGAATGTTCATGACTTGCAAACCAACGTACAGAAGCTATTAAGCTGGAAATCCACAACAGCGCCTTTAGATGTGGATATTGATATTTCTACCTATAATATTATTTCCAATAGCGATTTTGCCCAAGAAATTACCAGTTTGCACATTACGCAAAACACTATAAGCCAGATGGTCCATATTTTAAAGCACGTACCCAAATTGAAGAAAATAAGCACTCACAAGCTACTGATATCCGGTCCACTGGAAATTAACCTGATTGATGAAGAATCTGCTCCACTTCATCGCCATTTAGTAAAATTTGACTGCGTTATACTTTGTAGCAGTTTGCAATTTATAGATACTGTCAAAAACAAGTTGCATGCATCTATACCAACGCTAAAAGTTTTTAAATATTATATTAGAGGTTAATGAGCGGGCTGCAGTTGAGGGTCACCAGACTGCCAGCAGCATCAACCACATCGAGAACTGGGCTCAAGTTGATGAGGCCATTGCTCAGCAGGTTGCGGTAGATCTTGATAGTTCCCAAGTCCTTGGTGATGCCGAGGCCCTGGCGTACATCGAGAAGAGCCTTGACCCACTCAAGCTCGTCAATCTTGAGTCCGTTGATCAGCAGCGTGTTGCCTGACGTGCCCAAAACATCCTTGGTAAACTTGAGGTTCGTTGCGCTAATAATAGAGTCTAGCACGCCTGCAACGTTGGTCAAGCCGTCAACAATGGCTGTGTCGTAAAGAATGGCTTGGGTGAGCGGGTGCACAATCTTGAGCTGGCTTACAATGGCCGATACAGGGTCCTGGTACTTGGTTTCAGCAACCTTGAGCTGCGATGTAACAAAGTCCTTGTTTGCTGCTGCCTTGGTCCACGACTCGCAGAATCCATCCAAGCCGACCAGAGCACCACTGGCGGTCTCAGCATACTGTTGCAGCACGGGCATAAACTGATCAAACTCGCCGGCATAGCTTGCAGCCTGTTGATACAAGTTTACGACCTTTAGAATGTCGGTGGTCTTGGTAGAAAAGCTGAAAATACCAGCAAGGATGCCGACGCCATTTTGGCCAACTGAACACAAGCCAGCATTGCCCTCAGCATGGCCAAGGTGCACAAGGTTAGCTATCTTGGTAGAAAGGCTAAAGGAACAGTCGCCAGATCCAAGGTTGATGAGACCAGCGCTAACAGCCGAAACTGAAGCCAGAATTCCGGCGGAAATGAGAGAGAGCTTCATGGTCAGAAAAGAGTAAAGGGTGGGTTAAGTGAGCAAGGAAGGATGAGGAAAACGGTATACAGGTAGGATTTAGTTGAAGGCAAACCAAGTTCCTTTTTGAAAAAGCATTGTATTTATACACGGAATGTTGCCATCTTGCGCCATGGCTCAGAGCTAAAGGAATGGCCTCTGTGCTCTTTAAAGAAATGGAGCGATCGGCAGCATACGGGTTTTTGTTAATACAAGCTTCTAAGAAGTAGCGTAATTTCTGTACAAGCAATGTACACGTGTTGCTATATGACGACATATTTATTCCTTAATGGTTAGCCCTTTTTCTTTTCGGTCTTTTCGTCAGTCTTTGTGTTTGAGTTCGTCGAGAATGCATTGATGTTTTGTTCTACGGGATCGTCATACACAGGAGGCAATTCATTGTCTGCATTTGAATGCAAAGGGCCAACCGACAAACCGCCAAACTCAGCCTCCAGCGTCGCTTGATCGGCAGTGCGTCTAAGCCTGCCAAAGAAGTTTCTCCCATGTCGCCGCTGCCAGTACACGTAGTAAATCAGTGCACAAATGACCAGCAAGCTGCCAACGGAAACGCACACACCAATGATAATGCTGTTGCGGTTTGACGAATCGTTGGAATCTTCCATCGTGTCAATTCCATTGACTGCTGGATCATCGCTTGATCCCGTAAAGCTGCTGGCCAGCTCGCTTTCAGAAAGCGATGACAGTAGCTCAGTATCTTCCGTCTGTTCTTTGTAAAAGTCGCCATCTAGCATGGTGATATTTTTGTCCTCCATAGTAAAATTGGACTCGTACATGGAAAACGAGTCTGACAGGGAAATGGCCGTGACATTGACAAGGAAAAGGTCAGCACCAACGTCAATGCTACGTCCAATGACCTTTTCAAAATAGCCAATGTAGCGGGCAAGTACAGTGAAATATGTGTATTGTTCTGTGTAGCTACACAAGCTATCACCGTCTTTGATGGCCGAGTTCATGTACAGAGAAGATATAGACACGTTGTTTTGATAAATGCCAAGTGCGGTTCCATACGGCATTGGGCATGGATTCAAATAATTTGGCACATCTCGGGACAGTTTGTCCGTGCATATCATGTCATCTACATTGACAGCATGAACTATCGACAACCCATCGCATTTGTATTCAAAGTCTATCCATCCGGTAGTATACGAGCGCGGTTCCCACTCCATAGTTTCCATATCCTTGAGCGTGTATCTTGTATATACCAGCTCATCCCACTTTTCGAATCCTTTTATAGGAGCAATCATATTTTGGAAGGTCATTTCACCATCAGCATTGTACTGCAACGTAGCAAGGTTGTTGAGCTGATAGGTTGCGTTGTACTCTGGATGCACAGTAACAGAGTCCACTGTATATTTGGCTGCCTTGCCATCCGCGCCGTCATCAAGGTACACTGTATATTTGGTGGTGGTATTTAGCGAGCCATCGCTCATAAAGTTCAAGCACGCTGCCGCAACCACCGACGCTTTGCTATCAATAACCGCCAAGTTACACGACGTCTGCAACCCGTCTTTAACCAGCATACCACCCTTTACTAACTTTAGCTGCTCTTCAGTCGCTCGAGTCACCAGAGCATGTGCGCTGGAAACTATCAGAGATCCGCTAAATACTGCCAACAGCCGCCAAAACTTTTTCATTATGTATAAATAACAGAAAATAGCAGAAGAACGATAAATTTGTTGTCATTTTTTTCTTCCTCAATATCTACCTACAGAACCGGATATGTCAATCAAGGATTTCTCCAATGTCAAAAACTATTTTTAAAACTCAGTTTACTAGGTATCATACACGGATTCTCCATAGCAGCTCCACCTTCATGAGTATTTTTATAAAAAGACGCAAGGTAAATATGGCTATTGAAATTGGTTGGACAACTCATGTTATTTAGTATAATAGGTCTAAAGAAAAAGATGATCGGTAATATATATTTTTATTTCTTAATGGTTAACCCTTTTTCTTTTCGGTCTTTTCGTCAGTCTTTGTGTTTGAGTCGGCCAAAGACACATTAGTATTTTGTTCTATGGGATCGTCATATACAGGAGGCAATTCATTGTCTGCATTTGAATGCAAAGGGCCAACCGACAAACCGCCAAACTCAGCCTCCAGCGTCGCTTGATCGGCAGTGCGTCTAAGTCTGCCAAAGAAGTTTCTCCCATGTCGCCGCTGCCAGTACACGTAGTAAATCAGTGCACAAATGACCAGCAAGCTGCCAACTGAAACGCACACACCAATGATAATGCTGTTGCGGTTTGACGAATCATTGGAATCTTCCATCGTGTCAATTCCATTGACTGCTGGATCATCGCTTGATCCCGTAAAGCTGCTGGCCAGCTCGCTTTCAGAAAGCGATGACAGTAGCTCAGTATCTTCCGTCTGTTCTTTGTAAAAGTCGCCATCTAGCATGGTGATATTTTTGTCCTCCATAGTAAAATTGGACTCG